GAGAGAGAGAGAGAGAGAGAGAGAGAGATCCATCATCATGGCTTTGACCTCTAGGGCTCATAACTCAACTGGAGCTAAAGAATGGATTCATAAAGATCAAACCCGGCAAGCAGGCAGGACTATAGATGATGTCTGTTGACATTCTGGAAAAGAGCTTTTCTGTATATCCCGTGAGGTGTGTGTTTTTCAGAAGGAGTGGCTATAGGATCTTTGTTTCTTGGTCAGGCTTATTCTGAGCCCACTGGGTGAGCCGAGGTGAAGAGGAGGTGCTGTCTTCCCATGGAGTACCCGTGACTCAGGCATTGGAATGGTGGCTTCTGCTCTGGTGGGTGTTGATAAATGCGCATCTCTGGTCAGAAAGAAAGCTGCTTGTTTCCCGAGTCAGCTCTTTCAAGGGGCCAGGCAATTACTCCAAACTCTTGCCCAAGCAAATTGATGGCTCCGGGGTGAGTGAATCAATGCACTGGCATTTGCCAAACAGTCAGACAGAAACAGAATAAATTAGTTCCTCTCCGTCAGTTATTGCTCTGAGTAGGCGAGCCAGGGAAGAGGGGTACTGGGGTGCACCCTGAGCGTGAGCTACCTTCTGTCCTCACCGAAGACACAGAGCAGGAGACAGCGTAGAAACAGGCAGTGCCTGCAAAACTGCAGCTGGGGAGGGAAAGGAGTCTGGGAGCAACTCAGTTGCTTCCTCCGAATTGTTCCCGGAATAGCTTGGCTTTTTCTTTGCATACACTGTTCAAAGTGCAGACTTTTAATTTATTGTCAGGTAAAATACAAATCCCTGAAGTCTGAGTGATTGTGTTTCTGGAGTTTCCAGTTGGAATTACGGACTGTCACCAATAATGACAGCATTATTTGAAGCTAATGCTAGAATTAATTTCTTCCCACTGTACTCAGCCAATATTGACAACAAGATATGCTATTATCCAGCATAACTTGGCAGGCTCCTGCAGCCAAAGAATCCATGATCATACGTCTGACAGTCTGTCCAACTGAGAGGATGGAAAGTCTAGGAAGAGAATATCATTTCAAAGATGGGCATCCCACAGTTAGTGCTCTCGAGAGATGTTCAGCCACAGAGAAAACTAATCTCTTGGTCTTAATAGTCTAGCCTTACTCCAGGATAGCTGTTCATAAACTAATTGAAAGACTGAAGCATGCTACACAGTACTATTGATGTGCACCGTGAATACACTGAAAAAAGAAATGCCAATCAGAAGATGCAGTCTTTTTTGCTGAGCAAATAAAGTATTATGATTTTCTTATGATGTTTCATTGACATATGGTACTTCTAACCAAGTGACAAATGAATTGACTAGGTTTAAAGAGGAATGGATGGGGCTTAATGAAGAAGGGCAGGGTATGTATTACAAGGCAGCTGCTTCTGCCACTGCTGGCTTATGGAGACAATATACATTGGACAGCTAATGAATCTCTGTTGCATAAGATAGATTCTCTTTATAACAGAATTGCATGCTTTGTCTCTAAATGGGGTTATTATACACACCATTGCGCAATGTTTGAAGAGCTTGGTTGGCCCTTGTACAGGGTTAGGAGAGAAATAAATTGGAAGACAATCGTATTTAAGACCTTCAATCCATCAAACTCTCCATATTTATCTAAATTACTAGCACTTTCTCCCAAAATACAAATCTGTATGATCCACATGGCTAGCATGTTAATGCTGACCAGCCTTCACTTTGATTTTTATCAACTCCACTGAAAGTACAGACCAAAATTCCTGCCTGGTGATACATTCTAGCCACTCCTTGCCATTGTTGCATCTTCGGGTGCAGCCCAGTCTGAGTTCCTAAAGTTTCATTCCAGGTTCCTTCCACCCACCCTAAGCACGCACACATTGCTTCCCCCGAGTTATGTCACTAAGCACTCTCTGACTGTTTTAATTTTAATTCATTCAGTTTCTTCATTTTTCTCCACACTTGTGGGGCCTCCCTGTTCAGTTGCTCAGTTTTTCTTTAAAATAAACCCACTTCCGCTCATTGTACAGCCTTAAAAAACTGGAAGTGATGGAATAAGATAGGGGAGGGGTGAATGACAGTGTCTTCTACTCTGTATCAGAAACCACTTCCTGTTAGGGGAGGTGGGCACTGTTGTTCTGATGGCATGGGTGAGGAGGTGGAGGAGTTTACCTCTTACCCTTTACGTCCAACCTGGGTTTGATGTTGGATTGATTGACAGGTTGGATTGATGGCTTGATTCTTACATTGGTGTTATCACATGGTCTTTAGGAATTTCGTGGCTCAATTTGAGTCAGAGTTTTTCAAGCTGATAGCACGTCTCGTAAGACTGGGAGGGGGTGTGGCATGGAAAAATGATTCTCTGGTATGTTACAACTAGGTTTTTGACTTGTCGAAGGACTTTGCCCATGTGGCGATTCCCACTGACCTATGAAGCAAGGCAATAGTATTTGCTCCCTCTAGACTTTGTGTCTTTCTGCTTTTTATCTGCCATGAGAAATAGAAAAGAATTACCATGTGAAATGTTTCACAGTTCTTGGGGTAAGATGCTCTTTTCAGTTTTAGCCATTGTTCCATTCCAAACTAGATGGCTTCCTCTTCATCATTGTGGGGCTTTTTACTTATCAAGTCTACTGGTATTCTGGAATAAAGAAAGGTGAGAGGAAAGAAATGGACAAACTGTTTCATGGGCTTCTCCACATGCATTGTACCCTTTTCAAATTGAATCTTGAAGCCTTGTCACAAGTGTTATTTTTCCAACAGAGCAGGTGTTAAGTGCCTGTAGAAAATAAACTCACCCCCAATAATCGTTTTCATTGCTTGCTACATCCATTTACTGTGAAGATTATATTGTAAGGTAAGACGGGGTGGTGTATGGCAAAGGAAAATCACTACTTTGCAATTCTATTCAAGTTTTCTTTAGCATGGGCTTTTGCGTTTCCTTGTCATTTCTGGAATTATGTCTTAAATGGCAAGAGGATTCTTTTTCGTGTATTTCTCCAGAGGCTTATTTCATCCAACTAATCTTTAAATTGCAAACACACTTCTGTAGGTAGAGCTATGTTTAGTAACAAGGTTTCTATAATTTGGCCAGGGGAAGGAAAAACTAAAAAAAAGGTAACAATGAAGTTTAGCTATTTTTTTTAATGGCTTTTGTGTGCTCTGGCAAAAATAGATTATTTGATGCCCATGCCAGGATTGCATAGCTCTAGGTTGGAATTATTTCTATTTGATTGGATGTTTTATTTAATGAGAGCTCGTACCTATAGTTTTTTCTTTAACACAATTACCTTAAGGAAATAAGTGTGTATAGAGACTAATGAGTAGACATATTAGTCTTTATCAATGTTTGTTCAAATTATTGCACATTAGAGATATGGGAATCTAGAATTGAAATGGTTTAGAAGTGAATGTTTGCTTGTATGTAGTATCTTTAGTGCAAAGATCTGAGAACACATTACGAGCAATTAAACTCTAGGATACCAATGAGGATTCTATATTACTCACTGTTTAAATTAAGTTATGGAAATCTGATTTGCTCTGGGTTCCCAGGAAATCCTTTCTTTTAGTCCTGCAAATTTGCCATCCTCATTATCCTGGGGAAACATTTCCAGGTCTCTTTTCTTCTCATGTTGTCGTATTTCTTAAAAGGCTCACTTTCTTTACTTCCTTCTGATTTCTTTTTGAGACAGAGTCTTGGTGTGCACTCCAGGCTGGCCTCGAACTTGTGATTCTCGGGTCCCCGCTGCTCAAGTGTTGGGATCACAGGAATGCGCCATGGATTTATTCTTCAACCTGTGTGACTTTTGCTTCCCACATGCCACTGTGGCCTGTCTGAGTGGACGTGGTCAGCCAGCATGTCCTAAAGCCTCACCTGGAGCTCTTTCCAGTCTCTGTTTCTTCTCCTTGCCTCCTTCATGCCGCTGGCCACTCATGTTCCTCCTCTTCCAAACAGCTGCCTTTTCTGTGCCTGGGGCCTTACTGTCACTCTCCTGCGCTTGCTTCCTCTGTTCTCCCTTCTTTACCCCTCCCTTGGCTCTGGTTCTCCCAGTGATCCAGCCGTTCTCCCTCAGTTTGTCCTGTAAGTCTCCGCACAGGGCCAGGTTTTCAGCTCTTCTCGGATTCCCTCAGGACCCAGGTTCGGTGGCCTCACTCTGACCGGTAGCAGCACTTCCCTCAGGACACCCCTTCCTCCTCCCTCTGTCCCTTCACCCCCTCCCACCCCACCCCACCCCGTCCCCAGGGTTCCGGGTCAGAGACTCTGGAGTCCTCTTAGCACCTGTTCCTTCCTTCCTCGCTTGTCTCGTCACTCACCGAATGCTGCAGATGCTGCGGATGTTGCTCGTGCTTTCACACGGTTTACCTTCCCTCCTAGGTGCCTGGGCTCTGGCCAGCCTCGTCTTCGGCCTGCAGGGGCCCTGGGCAGTCAGCCTCCTCCTCTTGCACTCTGCTTTGGGTTCGACTCGACCCTCTGAAGATAACCAGCCTTGTCCCTGGCTCCCAGTTGCCTGACAGGTGCAGTCTGGAAGCAGCCTGCTCTCACCGTAGGCCTGGCTCCGCTCTCCCCTCCTACTCCCCTCCTGCTTCGCACTCCTGCAGAGCTGAACTCGTGATGCTCCTGCCCCACCATGGGACTTTGGCCTGAAAAACTCATCTTTTCTCTCTTTGCTTGGGGAAGCCCCTACTCAGTTTTGTGAAACCTCCCAGCACAGCCCCTCCTGCTTTCTCTGGCCGCAGCCCTTGGCTGGGACCCTCCACTGCCACCTTTGTCTCACAGTCGTGTGACCCCGTGTCGTGTCTGTCCGTGTCATGTCCGTCACCGGGGAACTGTCTCGTGGTCATCGTCTCCCTATGTGGACCCAAGCACTGGGCACACCTGGGCCCTCGGCGAGGGTGGGAATCAGCAAGTGAGTGTAGTAGCAGCGTAGGATGGCCCCAATCCACCCCTGCTGCGGGCCAAAGGCACTTTCTTGGCTGGATGGAGCTGTGAATCTTTGTCCTGGGTTCTGCTCTGCACAGGAGAAGGAGAAACTGTACATGGAACTGAAGCACATCTTGGCACGGCAGCCTGGCCCCGAGGCTGCAGAACAGCTGCAGATCTATCGGCACACCCTGCGGGAGAAGACCAAGCAGCTGAAGGTGAGGCCGCTCGCTGCGGGCAAGGGAAGAGAGAGTTGCGGGAGGAGGAAAGCAATGGCAGGCGATCTGGGAGCCAGGGTTGGTGTGGAGGACCACAAGACGATGCAGAGGACTTCACACCTCAAACGCCGTTGGCTGCTGAAGCCCATCACTGTGCCAGTGCAGGTTCCTGCCACTCCCTCCACTGGAAGGAAATGCTGCTGCTCACGCCCAGATGGCCGACAGTGGCCGGGGAAGAGAGAGGGAATCATGCCAGACTTCTGTCAGCAGGAGTCCCTTCTAAGTAACACAAGGGCCTCAGCTGGAGAGATAGGGTGTTTTCCTATTGTGTTTTCCTTTTGGACATTTTCTGAAAAACGGTGTGTGCTCACACTGTATTTTGAGCTTTCCGCGCTGAGCAAATAAATGCTCCCTATTCTTGGTGCACTAACCAAGTTCTGAGCATACAGCTGCTGAGTGCACCAAGCGTCTCTGGCTTCTGGCACTAACCTGCCCAGTTGCTGCCTGCCAGTGTCGAATTGTGCCCTTTTACACAAAAGGGGCAGATGAAACCATCCAGTTAGAACATTAATTTTCAAATTACTCTGTTCATTTCACGCACGTATACAGAGATTAAATTTGAGCTCTGCACGGGACATATGCTTTTATTTTTGTTCTTTGGGGCAGTTGAATATCAGACAAAATTTTAAGATTTACTTTTTAATTTTGTCAGGATGGGAAAGCACACGTCTGTTTTACCACACTTAGCTCTGGATGGCCAAAAATGGCTCTCACAGGAGTCTTTGGATACTTTGTTTAACTCTTGATCTCAGGATGTCCGGGTTTTTTGCTTATGATGAAATGTGACCTTGTACAGAAAGAGGCTCTGAGGGAGGTGGTACTGGGCTCGTCCAACTGCTCCATGTCATCTGGACTCAGGAACTTCCCATTCATTGTTTGGAAACAGAGTCTCATTCCCAGCGTTTAGCAGGAGCACAGGTTTTCTTCCAACATGAAAGTCATGTGTGCAGGCTATGATAGGGTGGTCAGAATAATTTTTGCAGCAATTAAAAATAAAGTGTTCAGAGGCAGATGAATACTCAGCACACATGTCCCTTTTGTGCAAACCTTTAAACTAACACGCAAGAGGAAGCATACGTGGAGTCTACTGCATGCCTTCAGAACAACAGCCTGCCTTTCCTCGCCTGGTTCTGGTGGGGACCGCACCCTAGCTTGGGCTTGCTTTGTGTTTTATTTGGTTCAGCCCAAGACCAGTGGCATCCACTGAACACAGCCATGGGAGGTGGGTGATCAGGGTTCTTATCGCAGTCCTGCCTTGCTTGTATTGGGCTCTCCTGGGCACATGCCACTGCCGCCTGTTTCCCTGGAGGTGAGTGTACAGGTGCTGGGATAAATGGCGGCCGGTGAATAGCCCCAACCAGAACAACCACCTGGGCAAATGCATAAATTGAATGCCTGCTAGTGGTGGTGGCAGAATGATTTCAGAATAATTTTTACCATAATCCTGAGATGAATCGCATTCCCTAGTGGTATCTTTCTTGAATATATATTTTTAAAGATTTTAAAAGCAATTATAGAAAGTGTGTCTAGGAGCTCTTCTGTCTCTATTCACAATATTCCTGGAAACATATTACACCATTCATCTTCGCTGTTTGAGTCTCACCTGGTAGTTCTCTTTTTAAGTGGAAGAATGAGGTTTCATTTACGTTTGTCCTTGATTATGAGTCTTGGCCAGGGTTTTACTCAGACAAGGACCTTGAGCCTGGGAAACAAGTAGAGTATCTGTTGAACTTGTCCATTGGTACAGACCTCTAGCCCCAGGGAGGTAGATGGTAGATTAAAACATTTTCAGGGAAGGATATTGTTTCTCCCTGTGTCTTTTGCTAATGCTGCTTTATTTGCCACATTAGGTTTTGTCTTCAGAATTGAATATGTATGAATCACAGAGCCAAGAATATAAGTATGAGATCGAGAAACTTGGCAACGAACTGATAAATGTAAAGAAGAAATACCTTGCTCAGAAACGTAAAGAGCTTATTCAAAAGTAAGCATTAGTCAAATATTCTGATTTTGTTGTGCCTATTACCTGCTCATAAGAAAATATTTGGTGAATACTCATAGAGTTGCAAACTTCCGCAGGGTAAACTGAATCGCAGGGTGAACTGATGTCATTCCGCAGGTCACTAACTGGTTCACATGAGCCGTTCCTTAGGACCCTAACAGGAGTTCCATAGCAGCTGCTCACTGGTGGTTCTAACTTGGGACAGGAGGAGCATGCTGGGGTCCTCCATGCTCTTCTATAGTTTGGAAATGAGCTGTGTACAGGCTGAAGCAAATTTATAATGAAAACCACGTGCACTTTTGCTGAGGGTCAGGTCTTGGCACAACTGTTCTTCCTAACCGTGTAGCTGCACCACTCTAATTATGAGCCCTTCCTGTACTGTAAATAAACTGTCTCTGAACCATCATCTACGATTCAGTATCTGCCATGAGCCACTGTTCTGGGAGATGATAGTGCAAATGTGAAGTTCACATTTGGAGTTTCAGGTGCCCATGTGTTGACGATAAACGTTCCCTTCACTGTACTATTGTTCTTTGCCTGGTCCTAGGCCAGGGTAGAAAACCCAAATGAATCAGTGGGTCTGAAACTTGGTTTGACTGCATGGCATTTCCAAAATCATTCCGTTAATTCAGTAGCGCCTTACATTATGGTATTTCATTTTCATGGGCATTTCAGGGACATGGGAAATATAGTTCAAATGCATCGGACTACGATCTGATAGAGGCAAACGGCATATAAAGTGACTGGATGCAAATTCACTTGCCAATACAAATCTGCCCTTCTTGTAAATCAGGACTCCTCCAGTTCCCCATTTAGATGCCCCCTTGGGAGAGTAAAGTACGGCTTTCATTTAGATAAGTCTTAATGTGTGGGTGGGTGTAGCAACTATCTGATTTACAATCTCTAGTGAGATTTTTTTAAACATCCAGGTTCCCAGGTCCCATTTCCAGCCCTTCAGAGCCTGCAGGCTCAGGGTAGGCCTCAGGAATCTATAATTCAATGAAACACTCAGGTGCTCTTCATGTACATAGAAACCTGCAAACCACGAGATTAAAGATGTGAATTAAATGAATAACGGAGGGGAAACACTATAGATTTCTTTTCCTTTTAGGATATCACAGTGGTGCTTAGAAAATGCCGACATGGCCAATTCCCACAAGAGGCAGGTGTCTAGCTCATTGGTCTTCAAGCTTTGACCACATACTCTGATCCATAAAAGATTCTTCCAGCTCCTCCTACCATATGTACATACCATATATATACATATTTTTTAAATAAAATTTTTATTTCAGAATAGTTTCAGATTTATCTCCATATATTTAAATGTATAAATTACATGTTACTGTCATTTTGTAACTATAAGTAAAATCCCATTGTTAACTTTTAAAGATAAAAGCATAAAGTTCAATCCCCAGTACTCCCCCCAAAAAGTGTACCAATAAAGTTAAAAGCATAAATAGGCGCTCTGATGCCTTCATTCTATACTCAGTGGAAGCTCTCACCCTGCATCCAGTGGTCCAGTGTACACAGCTCCTAGCAGCCAGTGTGGCTAAACATTGACCATTGTGGTTCGGGAGCCCAATCTCCTCCCTGCCTTGGCCCTGGGCTGAGTCTTCTTTGACCTAACTGAGCATTGCATCTTTTGCTGGACACAGGGAACATAAGGAGCCAGCTTCCGTGGGCTCAGCCAGCCCTTCTCAGCGCCCCATCCACTGGAACCATGATGCCACTGTGGCCTTTTAAATGCAAATACATTTCTCCTAAAGCAGATTTAAGGTTCTATTCCTCAGTCGCACTGGCTGCGTTTCAAGCGCTATTCCATTACTGCAGAAAGATGCATAGGGCAATGCTGCTCTGGAACCTTTGCCTTTACCTGTCCTCTTCTTGTCCTTGAATGCTCATCAGAGGTAGCCACTTTGACCTGGCTTCACTGGGGGTTCCGCCTGGCTGGGGACATAAACTGGTAGACAGAGAGCTGAGTTCATAGCAAAAGAGATGAAGGTGTTGGAAAAAAATATGCCCAGGAACTAAAGTGCTGAGATGGTTTAGATTGGAAGGAAGAAGGCTGCAGGGAGTCATTATAATGGTCTATAAATACATTAAAACGATAATGTAAAGGAGACAGTATTCCCATTAGTCAGCTTAGACCAAGCCAGGAGCATTAAGCTTAAGTTCCTTCAGAAAGGAAAATTTAGGTTATCTAAGGCAAGGGCAGGCAGGGGAAGGGAGGGAGGTGAGTTCGGCCTGCATCTCACACCAGTCAGGGCCGGACAAGTTGCCAGAGAACATGCAGGAATCCTCTTTGCTGGGCACACTCAAGGCTGAAGCTTTAGTCCTGTTTAGGGAGGATGGTTATTCGTGGTGATGAAATCACTCCTGCTAAGAGATAGCTGGCTCCATTAACCAATCCTCTAAGGTTATTTCCAAATGGAATAATTTAGGGTGCTCTGTGGATGTTCTGCTCACACATGCCCTTTATAAAATAGCAGTTCATACATAGCGTATCATCTCAGCTCTTTTTATCTGTTGCCAAGAACACCATCTTATTCTTCTTCCCCAAGTTTGACTATTCCTAGTGATAATTGTTGCTTGTCTAGAGTTCCAGGAAATTCTGTATTTTGTAAATGCCCAAGTTTGATGAGATACATTATGTGCAGTAAATATTTATGAGTTGCAACCTGAACTTTGGAATGTGCCAGGTGATAAATGATGAGTTAGTCACTATAATTGAGCTAACAGAAAGTTCTTCTGGTTGATGCCTGGAACGAAACAAAAAAAAATTTTTTTTAAACAGGAAGTTGATTACAAGTCAGAAGCCACCAAATCATTGTTTGAGTCATAATGAGGTCTTCTGTCCACATTTAGATCAGCATTAGGAAAGCACATTGTCTTCCCCTGACTCTGTGTGTTAGCAACGAACACCTAATTACATTTACACAACCGCCTTGTCTAAAACTAGAAGCTTTAATCAAAATTGCTTTCAGTGGCTAATTCACCCTAGAAATTTGCAGAACATAAAAGTAGAGGAGGAAAAAAGATATTAACTGTCGCCTCCTCTCTTACAGGAACAAAGACAAACTACCCATAGATAACACCTTGATCGCCAAACCTCCTGGCCCTCATTTTATTGGGGGTGGATTTCCCCTCACCAAGACACCCAAGGTGAAGTCCTAACTACAAGCTTCTGGCTGGGTCCATCGAACAGCTCACGAAAGGGAATTGGCACAGGAACAGTTTTGAGGAAGCATTTTTATAACCCTTGGATCATTAATATCTAGGAAAATCAGGTGCCCAGATTCCAGGATGGAAAGGAATGCAGAGCTAGCATACTCGTACATACTCAGGTGATGCTATTTTGCCTGGACCACACGGACATGAGCAGATTATAATCCTTTCTACTCAATTAGGCTGACCCACGGAAGGAAGCAGATTTTTGTTACAACTACATCCGTTGATTTGAAATGCACCAGATGTAGATGCTCCACATGGATGAAGCTTGGGATCTTCATTTTTCTATTATAGCTATTTATGTACTTGAAGGTTTTATATTCTAAAATATTTTTGAAATGGAACACATCTCCTCTCATCTTGCTAACAGTCCGTTTTAATTACTCCTCGTGACCAAGTCATTGCATGAGATGAGTAAGAAGGACAAACTCTCGAGTATGTGAAGTGTTCTGAGAATGATTTCTGAGTGGAATATTTTTTCAGGCCTGGGGTAGGAAAATCTATTCCAAAGAGATAGACCAATAAATACTTCATTGTAAAAAAGAAAAAGGAAGAACCATTGTAGAGATTTTGATCTTTGCCTTAGTAGAGTCTGTAGTTAAAGTTGGAAATTACTGTGAGAAATGTTTAACATAAAGACCTGACTCAAGGTGGGCTGGGGATTTAGCTCAGTGGTTCCGCCACCTGCCTTGCAAATGCAAGGACCCGAGTTCGATCCCTGGTACCAAAAAAACCACAAAAAAACAAAAAACAAAGACCTGACTCGGGACCAGGACCGTCAGTGGAGGGGCCGGGCTGGCATCCTCCGTGGACCTCACTGTTGAGAGTGGAATTTCTCAGCACAGCGAGCCCTTTGGCCCCAGGTTACCAGCCAGCATTCTGAGCCGTTGACTCCATCATGTTTTCTTTTTATTGTAGCTACCACTATTTGGGCATCGGTTCACAGTGTCCTCGTGAAGAGCGTTCATTCAGTGCTATTGTGTGAGGACCCTCTGGCCATCCCTCTCACAATAACTTGATTGTTGTAGTTTTTATTAAATTATTGAGCCATACGTAGCTCAGCACCAAATGAGCAATGTAAAGGGCTCATTACAGCATTCCATTTGTGCTAAGGAATCTCAATTCCCAGTGTGAAGAACAGGGACGCCAGTGAGCTCAGATGTTTGCTCAGACTGTTCTGGGAGGCGGGACCCAGTGGGATCTTCTTGGGGGTCCAGCAGCCCCTTCAGCCCCCAAGGCTAGTATCCGCTCTCAGGTAGGCTTCTCCAGGAGCCAGTCATTATTTAGACAAAAGGAACAGCGCTGGACACTTCCCACTCACCTAGGGATCTGCTGACTGCAGCCCAGCTGTCTCCAACCAGAGTCCTGGAGTGGCTTCCCAAGAGGCTGCCTTCCCCAGGTGAACCGAGTGGGATTCCTGCTCTCAGTGTGGCGGAGACTTGGAGACAGCAGCTGTGTTCAGGGTCCAATTTATTACAGCAACAGAGTTGTTCTGAAGATCGGATGAGTTAGAACAACGGGAGCCACACAGTGGCCTTCCGATAAACATCTGGCATCATTCTTACTACATAAGAGAGGAGGATGTGCTGGAATTAGAGGAGAAAGTTGCTTCATAATGCTTGCCGACTGTAAAGGTGATTGTGATCCCATTAGAGGGTGGATGACACTGAAGTGTCCTGATGAAGCTGGACTTGGTAATTCACAACTATCTTGTATACTGTGTGCCTTATAAAAACATCAGTATATTTCTTATAATTCTGCTCTGGGGACGAGGTGACCCTTCACCTTCAGAAGTCAGCGTTGTCAGTTTCATGTAGTCAGACCAAAGACTCCGCTGGCCCCTGCTGAACTCCCCTTCCTCTTTCTCTTCATGGCCTGGGGCAGGGTGTTCGGGCCCTACTGGCGACGGCATCCCAGGAGCCCAGGTGGAAGCCGGCTCCAGGAGCGGACGGGCAGCTCCATCAGGTGCAGTCCTCATGCCCACCCGGAGGAGCAGGGCAAGGAGGCCGAGGAAGGGGGCAGCCTGGCCACCTCCTCTCTGCGGTGCACCCCAGCAGCCCAAGGGCTTAAAAGCAGCACTTGTCCCCTTGTCCCCTTGTTTCCATCCAGCTGCTGCACAGGAAGGAGCTGTGGAAAACAGCGAGACCTGCAAATCATGAAAGATAACTGTGAACTCATAGTGGGCGGAGGTGCTTTTAAAATCACAAACTTGAGCTTCACTGTTAAGCAACATTGGGAGATTACATAGTAGCACAATTTTACACTGGGGGTTTCGGAGTGGAGTCCTGTTGCTGAGCCATTCATTGACTCCCAGCCAGGCGGATGGGGAGCTGGTTCAGTTTCTCTATTAACAGAGAGAAGCGTGGTAAAGGGGACCCCCTGGTCATCATTGCTGGTCTCCTGCTCTCAGAGCCAGGTTTTTATTGTGCTTCCCTCTGAAGAATCGCTAGGTGCAAAGGCCCATGGCTGTGAGGAGCCGCAGAGATGATGGAAGCTAGGGAGGAAGAGTCTGCAGCAGTTCTTCTTGCCGTGCCTGCCATTTTGCTGCCAAATTTCACCCAGGGCTGATAACTATCATTTGATTTCCCAACTTGCTCAGGCAGACTCTGAAGTTCGACCTAGGAAAACCTGATACCCATGGGAAAGTACTAAAACATGCAGTTTGAGTGGGATGGCATTTCAGGGGCAGAGCCATTTGCAAAAGTTACTCTCCCTTAAACGTGATCCATCTTATGGAGATCTACCTGGGATAGGAGCAAAGGGAGGGCATTTTCAAATATTAAAATTGTAAAATAACCTACAATATAGCTCACCATTTTCATTGTAGTAGATGGAAAATATTTTTATAGCATTATCCATTTTTAACTTCTAGTTCAATGCTGTTTTAGTATACCATTTCTCAAATCTATTATTCAAAAGTTCCATTAGGGTTTTGAGATCCATTAGAATTTTATAACAGTAGGAAATGTGGTATCAACAGGGTACCTTTCTTTTTTATAATTAAAATAGATTTTTCTTACTTTAAAGTACCTGATTGTTATAGAAAATTAGAAACTACAGATAAGCAAAAAGAAGGAAAAGGTCATCAGTAATCCTGCTACCCACCGAGAACTTTGGTTTTCCTGGGCTGACACCGACCTCATTCCTGAGGATTGCCTGTACACACCTTCCATTTGTTCTGGTTGACCTGTTCCCAAACTGTACTTCCTAATTGTTGCATACTTTGTGGACCCTTGAAATACTACTGTTTTGTACTTTGGGGTGTATCTTTGCGGACCTTTAAAATAAGTATACATGTACTTATATAGAGATGTGCAGCTTATACATCTTTTGCTCCTGGCAATACCCATTTGCCTCCTGGAAAGTCAATATCCCAGTCCCCACCCGGCTGAAGCAACCATGGATCTGTTTTTCATCATTCTACATTAGTCTTGTCTTTCCTGGAATTTCATAAAGATGGAATCATACACTATGGTCTTTTGTGCCTGACTTTTTTTCAGTGCTTTTTGAGATTCATCCATGTTGCCATGTGTAGTAATAATTCATTCACTTTTATTACAGAGCAATATTCTATTACTGTATATGGAAATAGCACAATTTATTTATTGTGCCAGTTGATGGGAATTCAAGCCATTTCAAGGTTTGAGCTATTATGAAAATTTATGTACAAGTCTTTATATGGACCTGTGTTATTGTTTTTCTTGGTAAATACCAAGGAAAGGAATTGCTAGATCAAAGGGAATGTGTACATTTATCTGGATAAGAAAATGCCAAACTCTTTCCCTAATTGTATTATTTTATATTTCTACTAATAATGTATGAACTCCAGTTCTACATCCTTGTCAATATTTGGTAACGTCAGCATTTTTTAAGCCATTCTGTTTGACAGTGATATCTGAATGAGGTTTACATTTGCATACCCTGATGACTAATATAAGTAAGCATCTTTTTGTGTGATTTCAGTCACTCATGAGTCTTATTTTGTGAAGCATCTTTGTCTTATTGGGTTGTAAAAATTCTTTGTATAGTCTAGATACAAAACCTTTGTCAGATATATGTACAGCAAATATTTTTTTCAGTCTGTATCTTACCTTTCCATTTTCTCAACAGTATACTTTGAAAAGCAGATATTTTAACCTTTAATGAGGTCTAATTTAGTCTTTTTTCTCTTATGGGGCTTATAGCTTTCTAGTCAAAAGTAATTGTTGCCTACTCCAAGAGAGTAGTGGTTTTTTTTCCCTGTAGTTTTCTCTAGAAGTTAATTAGAGCTCTTGGTTTTTATGTTTATGTTAATGGTGCATTTAGAGTTCATTTTATGTATGGTGTGCGTTTGGAGTAGGAGTTCATTTCTAAAAACTTGTTAAGTTGAAAAACTTCAATATATTTCTGTTGACTATTGTCACCCTGTTTCGCGATAGATTTTAAAATTGAAACTTTGTGCCCTTTGATTACACCTTTCTATTTTCCTTCCCCACCCTTCCCGGCCTCTGGTAAAACCACCATTCTACTCTCTACTAAGATCCCACATATCTGTGAGATCCTATGGCATTTGTCTTTCTGTGCCTGGCTTATCTCACTCAGCATAATATTCTCCACTCATCCATGCTGTTGCTAATGACACGACTTTCTTCTTTTCAAAGCCTGGAGTGTGCACATTCCATGTATATATAAACCACACTTCCTTTATTAATTCACCCGCTGATAGATACTTAGGTTGATTTTGTAAAGCACTGTGACTAATGCTGCAAAGAACACGGTAGTACGAATATCTCTTTTTAATTTGAGTCCACACCCTTCCAATTATAACCGTTTGATCTCTGGCAAGTTAAGTAACCTTCCCAGCCTCTGGATTCTCATTTGTAAAATGGACATAATAGTTTCCATCTCACGGAGTTGTTATGAGGATCACAGGAATCTGCGTGTAATATCTGCACAGGGCTTGGCACTCAGTGCTTAATAGCTGTCAGCTTTATTACCATCTAAAAATCGTCTTACTTCTGAATAGTAACCTGGGAAGTTTTAAAAGATTCTTGTGAGCAGCCAGTTGATGAATGCCAAACAGCATAGAAACTGCTTAACTGTATTTGGATGGATATGGTCAAGAATCTTCACTGGATTATGAGGCCTTATATTGTGCTCTTTAAATAGACATTAGAAGATTGAATGGCCATTAAAGTACATTGTGTCAGTTGTGTCTCTTTCACCCAAGTGATTAGTCTTTTTTACACTTCATCTGAGACAGAATGCCAGGAACTCTTTCTTTTGGTTCCAAAATGACACTGTTCTCTGGCTTGGACACAGGCAGTTCCTTCTCCTTCCACTGTGCCAGTAATATCCACCATCCCAAGGGCTTTAAAACCCCAGAATCTTTGGAAGAGCAATCCGTGTTCTCAAACCCACTGGTACAGGGAGTTGCTTGGGGAGCTTTGGACAGTGCCAGAGTCTGAGTCCCTCTGGAGAGGTTCTGACTTCCTTGGCCTGGACATGGCACAGGCATCAGGATCTCTTCAAGCTCCCCGCAGCTGTGCTGCTCAGCTAGGCTGGAGGATCGTTGCTTTACACATAGTATCTTATGAGAAAAGCCCATGTTCACACACACACAGTTCCACTGTTGAGTGTGGAAGTGACTTCCTGGGTCACAGGACTTGATGTCTGAGGGCAGGACTTGAACCGATAAGCATGTTTGATTAATCCAATCATGTCCAACTGCATAGTTTATTCCAATCTCCAATCTAGTGAGGTTC